TCATTTATTATTATGGTTTTAAATTTAATTTTAGTTTAAGTTTCATATTAGTTTTTTTATATCTTTAGCTATAATTTATTTTTATTTTAGTTTTAGTATTTTTCAAGGCAACAATGTTCTTTTTTCATCTGATATTTATATTTAATTTTTATTTCAGCTTTATTTAAATTAATGAAAACTATTTTTTAGTTTTAGTAAATAGTAACATTACCTGAATGATATTTTACAACCTAAACTAGCCATGCTGTGTCATAAAAGACATTTTAGTCAATCTATTTTTATTTTTTTAGTTTTTAGTATTTCAACATTTTATTTCAGTTGTTTGCCAAGGCAACAATTTTCGTTTTTCATCTGATATTTATATTTTATTTTAGCTTTATTTAAATTAATGAAAACTATTTTTAGTCTCAGTTTTAGAGAACATTAACAACATTTTACACCCTAAAATAACCTTGCTGTGTCATAAACATCTCAAATAATTCTCTAGTTCAACAGGCATGACTAGGCATAACAAAAGATTGTCAAACTACTTAAATTCTTGAAAAGAACAACGTATTAAATCTCTTTTAATAAGAGTTGGGGTTTTTTTCAGGACAGAGTTGCCATTTTTTTTATTTAAATCCCTTAAAAATATAGAAAAGTGAACTTTAAATCAGAAATAAAAACACGCTCATCACATAAAAAGTGTATTCATGTGTATTCTGTGTGTATGAATTGCATTTAAAAGTATTTTTAAATAAATAGATTAGACAAAATGAGCATTATTAACCCATTATAGACCTCCCTGCTCTACACTGATAAAGGTTCCCGAGAAAAGTGACATTGATTGCAGACTTGAGCATATTCTGTCATCATGGGCAAGTTCAGAAGCATTTTATGCATTTCTGGGCCCTGAAATGCCATCTAGATCACTATAGCTCACTATATAGGTGAAACGGAGGGCAGTGAACTCGCACGTCTGTGTGTGATTTCTGAAGTCCAGACCTCTCAGCAGCATGTGAGGGTCAGGGAATGTTGATTATGGTGATGGCTGAGAGGTTATTCTGTCGAGCGATACAGATACAGAATAATAGATGCGCGTCATCTCCTTTCAAAACTCAGAGACAGACGCTGAATTATTCATCCTGGTTTGATGGCTGTACGGCTCTCTCCTGCCTCCTTTCATATATTTCAGCCCATGGGCCTTGTTTACCTTAACTAATGCCATCAAACAAGCATGACTGCGAGACATCGCTGGTCTTCTCCTTCAACCTTCAGTTCAAAACCAGCTTTTACGTCAGTAAAATACAGCAGAAAGCCTCAAACTGCAAGTCTTCAAAAACACACCTCAAGTTTGGGCATCTCTCATAATTGATAATGCTCAGACAGCCTTGAGGTGAATGTCTTTGCTCATCAGTCTCACCTCTACGGCTTCAAAGTACGTTATTTCAGATCAATAACAATAACAGCACAGCCCAATAGAGACGGACAGATCGGCTGAACACAAACAGCTTGGAAGCCGAATTGAAGCAACGTATCTGAAAGCAGTGAAAAACACCTGAGGTTAGAGAATAGAGAGCTGCAGTTTTTTGAAATTGAAAGTCATTTTTCACATGTTTTATATCTTAATTACTCTGGTTGAGATGTTCTTAAAGCCATCTTGAAACAAAGGGGAGATGTAAGGTTGTTTATCTAGATTTATTTCACCATCTGCACCAGCTGGAAAACTTTGAAAACACTCACGGCTCCATCTACTGGCCATAACATGGAAGCAGCCCTGTTTCAGAAAGCCTGAGAAGGACATGTCCGAGTCATTTCACCTCAAAAATCTAAATAAAACAAGCATAAAAGAAAAATAAGCTTATTTCTGGAACATTGTGATTTTTTTTTTTTTTGCACTCTGGTTGAGATGTTCTTAAAGCCATCTTGAAACAAAGGGGAGATGTAAGGTTGTTTATCTAGATTTATTTCACCATCTGCACCAGCTGGAAAACTTTGAAAACACTCACGGCTCCATCTACTGGCCATAACATGGAAGCAGCCCTGTTTCAGAAAGCCTGAGAAGGACATGTCCGAGTCATTTCACCTCAAAAATCAAAATAAAACAAGCATAAAAGAAAAATAAGCTTATTTCTGGAACATTGTGATTTTTTTTTTTTTTTGCATTGTGACATTATTGTAAAAACAAAATTAATAAATGAATTACACCAGACAAGTATTTGTTGTACTGTATTTAAGTCATGTTAAAATAAATATAAAAAATATAAATATATATTTTTTTAAATGCAATTAATTTTAATAATACATTTAAAATTAAAATTAATTTTTTTTAAATGATCATGTCAGGACAGGATGATTTTCATTACTGTATTGCAAACACAAGTAACACAAACACACATTACAAAAATGATTCTGACAATGCAAAAAAAAAGTGTACCTTTTTATTTTAAAGTGAAATATGACATGTACGTGGAGAGTTGGTGGATATAAAGATTTTAGATTAAAATTTTTTATTTTTTTTTATATTTTATTGACCAGGTTTTCACTTCACTAATTAATTTTAAATGCTCCTGCAGTATGAGATTTTTTTTTTTTCTAAATTAATGAAATTGTAAAAACTGCATGCATAAATACAAAAAAAAAATTAGCTCTTCATTTT